GCAAGCCTTAGGGTTTGGGTGGGGTGGGGGTGTGTGGGGTGGGGGTGGGAGGGGAGAGAGGGTGGGGCCAGCCCAACTAGAACACAGACTGTGCAGCGCCCACGAGCTAGGCGCTGCACATTACATGTGTGGCGCCTAAGACTTAGGCGCTGCACAGGTGCGTGTGGGGCCGCAGCTCGGCTGCCTAAGTGATGGGCGCTGCACAGTAGGGTGCGACGCCCAGCTGTCGGGCGCCACACGAAAAGGTCAGCAGAGTGAATTTTTTTTGAAAGCATGTCAGTTTGTGAATTGATTTCTGCCTCAGGTCAAATATGTGATTTCTACCACACTTCGCCAGCCTCCAAGGCACAAGCAGACATCACAAGACAGAATCCGCAGCCAACAGTGAAAGGGGACGAGGATCTGCTAGGTTGAGGCAGCCGAGCAGCTGCATCGCGAGCGCATTGTGGCTGCTAGGCAGGGATGCCGCGGTGCATGGTGGGCCTTCCGCCACTGGAAGGACCAAGGCAAGGATGACAACGCGGACGACCGATTGCGTGAACAACTGAAAGGACCACAACGCCTGGAGGGGGGAGAACATGCGTTTTAATATCTTTTATGGATTTGTTTATAAACTAATGTGGAAATAAACTAAGCGGATACTTTTCAAGCACAAATCCTAAATATACTAAGCTCAACTAAGTGCACCAACAACTTAATCCTGCCCTTTCCCCTGCCGGCAGCGATTGCGGTCTCACTGCATGACCACTCTTCGCCGATCTTGGGGAGCTCCCCGAGGTGGCGAAGGAGACACGCGAAGTCTTCACATTGGTGAGCGACCGGTCACGGGCTAAGGCCTCCGTGAGGACTCAGGTCAGCGCTTAGTCTGACCTCACGAACGTTGAGTGGCGCGTCGCGTTGCGTCGCAGCCGCCATGCCGCTTCCCTGGCCGCCCTCTCCATAGCTGCCATGATTCTCCACGACGACGAGGAGCCACCACTGCCACAGTCACCAAGGTAGTGGAGGAGGCGCATGCGCACATTCTCGGCGGCACCTCCTCCTTCACGGCCTTGTCACGCCAGGCCCCTCATCCGGGACCGCAGCCTCCGCAAGGAGGTGCGGCGGCTACTCCTCCTCGTCACCTGAGGAGATGACGATCTCCTTGTTCTCAGGGGAGCTAGCCGTCGTGGAGGTAGAAGGCCCTGGAGAGCGGCGACAGCAACGCCAAGATCTACACTGGAAGGAGATTCGGAGCCGTTGCATGCCTCCGCAGAGAACCATCAGCATGGTGTGAGGTGGTGCGGTGTGCACTGTGGTGTGGACAATGCCGGAACGGAGAGGAATGATGCGGTGTGGTGTAGACATCGGTGGAGCCGTGCTTAAATAGGCGCGAGCAGATGAACGAAAGGGAGGTCGACTCAATGTGGTGCACCATCCGGAGTAGGCTTCTTGGTCGCCGCATCGGCATAGAAACGGTGCCGCCCGCTCGTCCGGTCTGGTCGCTCTGACTGACATCAATGCCGTGTGGAGTCATGTCAGCTCTGGAGCGGACTGGCCAGCATGACTGCGTGGCCACCGCTCTGTGCGGAGAGGGTTTTGGGGTGCACGTATGTTGCGGCAGTTCAGACGTCTGCAAAGTCCCCTGGTTTGCGTCCGGTTTACAGGAATTCGAACAACCGGACTCGTTCGTGGATCGATGTGGTACCACATTGGATGGCAAACTATGTCCATACAACTGCATCTGGTTTTGAGAATCTGTGTTGGAGATGCTCTCACACGCCACCTTAGGGGGCACTTGTGTTTGGGTCTGTGAAATCGGTTTGTGTTCCACACTTAGCTTAGCTAGATGTTCCGTTGTTAGGGTTTTACACGGTTGTCCTTGACCGACCGTGTGTTCAAGGTTCTTTTCTTTTGTTAGTTTTTCTTATCTATACCACTACAGTGTATCAATAACTTCAAATGTAGACATACAATATCATAGGTGGATTCTATAAAGGCAAATTAACTGCTAAATAATATACTACCTCCGTATTAAAATATAGCCTACAAAAACATCTTATAATTTGGTACAAAGGTAGTACTTACAAGAAGGATTTAGTGTGTATAGCTCAACTCAATAACAAGTAGCTAACTCATTAATTTGCTACTTAACCAATTGGTTTTGATATGTACATTTGGAAAGAGATCAATGCCAAGTTGCCAAATCTATGAATCAAGTTTTGAAGGAGAACTCAGCCTTCTTCTCAAGCACAAAAAGCTATATAGAGTAAATCATTAAGTCTGCTAAAAATCAAAATAGAGGTACATTTCAGGCAACCATCTAACAGATGATACATCATTGATGGCGAACCTCGATGGGTTAGAAGTAGTGAAGACACGACCCAAACTTGAAATAACACCTCATCGGGCACACTGACCGAACCATCAGGCTTTGCCTACACATAATCAAAACAGGCAGAGCAGTATGACGTAGCTAGGCAACAATCTCTCCTAACCACTGATTCATGGCCAATCTCATCACCGATAACCACGGAAACCCAACCAAGCTGAGAGGGCCGATCATGACAAATTCACATCATTAACACCTTACTGAGAGAACATTCAATCAGTTGGACTGCTGTACGACAACCCCTTGATTTGGCCTGTCACATAGTACGCTGTGCTGATATACTCCATTATATTTGATTACGTGGCCGTCAGCGTCGCCTTCTACGGTGGCCACTTCATGCACATGAACCGGTGTGTCCAATGAGCATATGTTTTCTTCAGTAATCAGAGCATCTTTTACGAGGTCCTGAGGCTCTTGGCATTTTTCGTTGGATTGAGTACCTATGAGAACTCACACGTAGACACATACATGAGGTTAGTATGGTTATGAGTTAACCTAGTATTGATTTTATACTTCACTTACTATGGTAAGCAAGCCCAAATAATTTTGAACCCGAGGGTTACCTTTCCTTCTTGTTATGCTATTTTAAAGCTATGACTCTGAACCTCTTATTCAGATGTTTGAATTGTGAGTAAAATTATCTAAAGTATTAGATATACCTGTTATCTCTCCATTCGGCACCAAATTATTGTTCTTTGAAACATCCGAAGATGAGACATATGCCAACGGTGCCCTTGAGCTTGAAGCAAAGGACGAAGAATGAGATGAAGACAATGAGAACGGGCGCCCTGGAATAAGTGGTGTGTCTTCAGTTTCATTTAGCTACAACAAGAAATAAGGACATTGGAATAATTAGAATGACACCATTTTTATCGAAAATAATTGACTGCCCCATTTGAATTTGTAAGATGCAGACCTCTAGATATTATCTGTGACCTATGTAGTGAACTAGTGGAAAGTGACTGCGATGCATGTTGAGGTACCCAGTGAGATTACTTCAACGAAGAAATTAGTTCCAGTTTGAGTACAACTAACAACTACACAAAGGTATCACTTCTTCAGCATTTTTAATTGCTACGGGCAACATGGTTCAAATTTGCATAATAATTTCCTATATCATCAGGAACTCAATCTATAGCAAAACTATAACAAGGGTCATTGTAAAAAACATAAATTGGAAGTACACACTTGTTAGTTTAATCTAGGAAACGTACATGACAAGGAATGTACCTTAGTAACAACTTCAGGCACTACATCCAAGCCTGAAGCAGATGCTAATTTCTTCTTTCCTTTCAGATCTCCAATCACAGGCGCCTCCGGAATGATCTCTGAGATAACAATACTTAATCTGACCTGCTCAGCTTGCTCTGAAAATTGGTGAGATGGGGAACTTCCAGAGCTGCTAGAACAGGATTGTACTATACCATCCTGGCAGCCAGAAACATCAAGATTTTGGAGCTTTTTAAGGCACAGTGGCAGATATTCAAGACTAGTGCAGTTTGAGAGATTCAGAAACTGAAGAGAAGTAAGGCATTCAAAGGAACCGAGAATTTTAAGATCAGGACAAGATGAAAGATTTAGGGCTTTCAAATATGCCAGCTGGCCAAATGATTGGGGGAGCTCCTCAAGTTTAGAACATTCTGATAGATTCAGATATTGAAGTGAACAAATGTTGCCAAAAATCTCAGGCAGCATTTGGAACTCAAAACCACTTAAGTTAAGATCTACAAGAGAACAAAGGCTAGCAAATGATTGCAGTAGTCTATTAGGTAACGTCGGAAGCTTAGAACACCGTGAGAGGTTCAAGAAACGAAGTTTGGTGAGGTTTTCAATAGATTCAGGGAAGCTTCTAACTTCAGGACAGCATGACAAGTTTAGGTAATGTAAATCATGCAGCAAATCAAGGCTTTTCAATTCCTGAAGTTTCTGGCAACCTTGGAGATTCAAATAATTCAGGCCCTTTAAGTTGCTGAGGAAGGATGGCAATTCCATAAGTTCAGTTTCTGAAAGATCCAACGCTTGTAGCTTATTAAAGCTACTAAACTGAGGAGGGAGTGTTGTAATGGACAAAGTGGAAGCATCAAGGTACCGCAGTTGCTTCAGCTGAAAAACAGAAGCAGGTATCTCATTAACAGAACATTCACTAAGATCTAGAACGCGCAGATACTTGTTCACTGAAAAAACTTCGCTGACATCTTCCAATTCTGTACCACTAGTCTTGAAAATGAGTGACCTTGCCTTAGAAGGCCAAGCCTTGCTGTCTATTGACTGTAAGCTAGAAGCTGACACCTGTGCGTAACGGTAATCACAAAATCTATTATGGCGTTCATTCTCCGCGTCCAAAATCACAAGGATATCTTCACCAGCAACTGACCTAGCAAGATCATGTGCTAAATCATGCATGCAGAGCATTTCCTCTGATGCATTGAATATTTCTCCAGCAGTCTGTAGAGGAGGTTAATTAGTTTACATACTTAAAGCAAAATATACAGACTCCCACTTTATTATGGAATTCATGAATATTATTTCTGGGCATAATTTAGTCATGCCTTGATGCGGTTACATTTTAGTTGATTTTAGCAAAGAATAAACAGAAGATAAGTTCACACTTGCTTGTAAGAGTTCATATGAATACACTGATATCATAGCAGTTTGCTGCAAAAATTAAAACCATAAGTTTGTGGTGCATAGTATGGGGTTCATGCCAAATCAATGTTTCATCTATATTATCATGAGGTTTAATCTAACAAGCAAATAAAATTTATCGATGTGATCAGAGTATAAAACATAACAAGCAATAACATAGGTATGGCTCCAAAGAACTTACTTGATGCGTTTCTATAACTTGAAGGAAATATATTGCTTTGAGTTCGTCAATATACTTCTCAGCAGTTACATCCAGAGGTAAGGTTCCATGTCTGGACTCAATCATGTCAAGTGCAATCCATTGCTGAATAAGTTTTTTCTTGTCTATAACAGATCCTTTAGGGAAGATTGAACAGTATACAAAGCATAATCTTAGCTCGTGAGGCATATTATAATATATTATCTTGAAAGATGGAAATAGTGGTGAAATTTTGTCTTCAGGATAATCTTCCTCTAGCTTCCACATTTCTTTATCCTTGGCAGCTTTCCAAATCTCACGCCTCTGTCGTTGAGCATTCACAACAGATCCAAGAAAGTTAGCAACCAAGGGTGTGCCGCCACACCTTCTAACAATTTCTTCTCCGTATTCCCTGAACAGTGGGTCACCACGCCCAGCCATTGCCCTTTGTGAAAATATATTTAAACAGTCATCTTCAGATAATGCAGACAACTTGTAAGGCGGAACAGTAGACACCAACTCAGCAACTTTATAGCTATGGGTGGTCACTACAATCTTGCTTTCTGTCTGTATACCAGTGAGCAACATCTGCTTCAGCTCATTCACTTCTTCATCTTTACCCCACAAGCTGTCTAATACTATTAAGCAGCTATACTTATTAAGTATGGTTTGAACATCATTCTTAATTGATTGTAATTGCATATTTCCCTCAATCCTTTCGGTAGTTTGTGAAACTATATCCCTCCCGATTTTTTCAAGGCTGACATTACCCATGGAAACATGAACCCATATCCTGAAGCTGAATGCCTTTGTTCTGGCATCATTGAAAACTAGCTGCGCAAGGCTTGTTTTCCCGAGACCCATGGGCCCTACTATAGAAATAATGGAAATCTCACTGACACTTTTCTGCATTATCATGTCCATGAGATTTTCTAAGTCTCTATCTCTCCCAAAAAGAGTAATGTCACTATTTCTGTATGATGTTGTCTGCTTCTCATCAAAATCCACCACTGAGTTAATATGTGAAATGAAATGATATTGATTAGGCAAGTGTTGCCTTGTCTGCAACAACTCTCTCTTGGATTTCATCTTATGAACCATGCTAACTTTCGAAATCACGGGATTGGAAAGTGAGCAGAACAATGATCCCTGAAAATTTATAAGCAGTTTTACGTAAAAATCAACATCTTTGCTGCCATAACAAAAGCTGTAAGCTTGATAGGTGAGATCACGGAGTGAGTAGCAAAATGCAGTTGAAGAAGTGCTCGTGCTACATGCCATAAAAAAAATCCAAAATGTTGGGCTAAAGTTGCAATCACATAACAATTCGTTGCTTCTTGTGGCAGGAGTGGAAGAACCACGATCCCTGGTAAGCAGTACTTTACTATGGCAAACAGAAACTTGTTTCTCACTGCCCCTCAATGATTCATTCTTTACTATCTGACCAAGTTAAAACAAAATGTTCTTGTCCCACTCCAGCTTGCATGCTCAAGATTTTGGTGGTCCATATGTTGAGAGCTCTATACATTCACTGCATATTATGGTAAAAAGATAGCCGACTTGCAGACTGATTTGCACAAATCCTAAACACTGTTGTCAGCAGTCAAATTGTGGGTGGAAGCACTACTCCCTGTCACAGTTCCCAAGTACTTTTGTTACTTTGATATCCTCATGGACATGAAATGCATGAACGCATATAATCATCATGTGTGCCATCAACCAGCGTTGCTGGCATGCACTGGTAACACATACTGTATCTTTTTAAAGGGAACCCTACTAAGACATGTTATGAATTTGGATTAAAAAACAGTTTTGTTAGAACTCATTTAGATGAGATATAATTTGGTCTCATTCACCTTTTATAGCCATTGGATATGATGCTATAAGATGCGTGTGTGCTGACGTGGGTTGTATATGCTCTTGTTTTCAAAGTGAATGAGACCAAATTATATCTCATCTAGATGAGTTCTAGGTACTCCCTTAAAAAAAATCAAGTATTGACAAAAATGGATAACAAGATGTTAGTGAGTTGAAATTATTGCACAAATTCGTGGTCGAAATCATAACTCCTGGGAAGAAGAGTTGAAACCTTCAGATCTGGTCCAAATCGTACAGGAAACTATTTACTCAGACCAAACTATTTTACCTTCTGAGCATAGCTGCTGCTCCCTTCAAACTGCTCCTTGGAAGAGTAGTAGTCGTCAACCATGTCTTCGATGTCGAAGGCCAGGGACTTGATCTGGGCGAGCCAGTGCCGCAGATTTGCCCTCTCGCTTCCGAAGGAGTTCCTCTCCGCATTTTTCAGCAGGTCTTCTAGGTACACCAGAGTGTCCTTTATGCTCTCCAGGTCGTCGCTGAAACTGCAGCACAGCGTGACCTCGCCCTGCGCGGCGCCGATGATTTCGCCGATCTTGCGGGCGACCTGGCTCACAGCCGCGGCCGCGAGCATCTCCGTACCAACCATGACTGGAAGGACAAGGAAGGGGGTGGACCAAGAGCACAAGCAGAAGGTGCGGCCGGCAATGGAGGCTTTGAGCAGAACTAGGACTATCCACCGAGTTATTTGTTATTTTCATCATTTTCTTTTGACGGAAAAGATTGATTGGTTTCTTGACTTTGACTTTTCAAAGTCTCGAAGGTGGAGAAAGATGTAGAACCAACCCTTCAAATGTTTTTTTGACACGTACAAACGCAGATATACTCCTTCCGTCCGGAAATACTTGCCGGAGGAATAGATGTATCTAGTCGTATTTTAGTTTTAGATGCATTCATTTTTATCCATTTTTGCGACAAGTATTTCGGGAGGGGGAGTAAATGAAGAAATCTACACATTGTGCAATTTTTTTATAATTTCAACTTTGAATGTCATGTTAGTATGTCGCCATGATATTTTCTGCTCCAAACTTTCTTAACCAGATCATCCCAACTCAAGTCTAAATTGGGGCTCTTAAGGGCTTTTTAGTTCACTCCTCTAATCGACACCTAGCCGAAGCCGAATACCGAAGTAAAAGTTTTACTCCTCTGCCCCGCGGGTGCCTAAAAACACTTGACCTCCAGGCGGCCGAGTAAACATTGCGCCCACTTTTCCAGCCGCCACCCCTACTGCATCGACGTCGACGCACCTGCCATCGACTGTCCACTGCCTCTGCCGCTACCTCGTCGCCTCCCTTGGCCCTAACCGCCTTTCTACCGGAGTCCAAGCTATTGGCGACCATCGCCGTCGCCGGGGATGAGCTGAAATACCGTCGTCGCCGCATCGACCGATTCGTCGGAAACTGCCTCAAATCTTCTTCCTCGTTGGCTACCCAGCATCTCATCGGGCTTGCACACCTTAACCGACCATCCACACGTCCAGCGCATGCTAGTTTGGGATCAACGCCGGCGGCTAGCTGGTAGACCTCCACCTCCTTGAAAGTGTTCAACGTTTTGCCTAGGTGAGTTTTTTTTTTTTGGTTTTTTGTCTCGTTTTTGTTTTGTCCAATTGAATTGAACTGAATTGTTTCAACTGAAGATGAAGAGGCCGAGAGAGATGAACTTCGAGGACTCATTGTCATCTGAGGAGGAATAAGATGACGATGACTTCGAAATTGTCGTTGGCATGATTCTCAACGATGATATTAGGCGGCCGAGGAAAGGATTGCAATTTGCCCGCATACAACTCAACTGTGATAGAGCGGAGGGCCATGCCAAGATTATGAAAGATTATTTTGACCCTAATCCGACCTATCCGGAGAAGTATTTTTGCTGCCGCTTCCGGATGCACGCAAGTCTCTTTCTCACCATTGCAAAAGTTGTGGAGAAGTATGATGATCGGTTCGAGCCCTTTGATGAACTATATTGCAGTTGTTCAAGTTCTAGCATATGGGTGTTTGGCTGATGTATTGACGACTATGTCCGCATTGGAGAAGATACAAATCTTGGAGGTCGTTCGAAGGTTAACAAAAGTAGTTGATGTCTTTGGGCCGGAGTACTTGAGGGCACCCAACGAGGAAGACACCGAGAGGCTATTGGCAGCGATTGAAGACATATGATGGCCTTGGATGCTAGGATCAGTCGACTGCATGCACTGGACCTAGAAGAATTGTCTTACATGATGGAAAGGTCAGTACACAGACCGCTACAATAATCCAATGATCATTCTTGAGGTTGCTGCATATGAGGATCTATGGATCTAACATTCATTGTTTGGATTGTCTGGCTCTCAAAATTACCTAAATGTAATATCGAGATCACCACTGTTTGCTAGGCTTGTTGCCAGAGATTCTCCTCCTTGCAACTATACGGTCAATGGTCATGACTACTACCTTCGAATGGCATCTATCCTCCATGGGCCACATTTGTCAGAACAATTCCCCGTTCAAAAGGTAACAAAAGGTCTCACTTTGCAACATGTCAAAGAGTGGACTACTAAGGATGTGGAGAGAGCTTTCGGGGTGCTTCAAAAGCGCTTTTCAATCGTTCGTCGCGCTATCGAGTATTGGAACTGCAAGGTTCTATACCAAATCATGACTTGTTGCATCATCTTCCATAACATGATCACTGAAGATGAGAGAGACAATCCTGAGAACTTCTGGTGCATCACCAATGGTAATCCTATAGAGCCAAAGCACGATCCTAATAGGATCCAGGCATTCCTCAAAGCACATCATAGGATCAAGAACTAAGAAGTTCATACCCAGCTCCAACATGATCTTGTTGAGCATTAGTGACATCTCCATAGCACTTCATGGTCATGCTTTTATCATGTTATTTACTTCACTTGAACCATGTGGTGTGTTTGAATTTGAATAATTTGGTTTGTAAACTATGAATTTGTAATGTTTGTGAATTGTGTGGAACTTATTTATTATGTTTGAATTTTCACATGGGTGCTAATATGTAGTTGCAATGTATTTAGTAAACTAGAATTTTAATACTTTGGCAAAAACAAAATTTTACTCTGCTAAATTTAGGGGATCGGCCAGAACCGACCAAAACTTAGTGGCGTAAAAATACTCCACTAAGGTTTACTCAGACATTTACTCTTGTATTGTTCAGAGGATCGGCTAGAGATGCCCTAACTAGGTTGGGTTGTTTGGCCAAAATCTATTACGGATAGAGCATGATCTGATAATGTCTAGCTAGAGAAAATTTATATTCCCAGTCAGTGGTTGCACTATTAGGAAAGTCCTGATAGGTGGGACCACACGAGTGTGAAATGCTTAGCACCCGTCACTAGTAATTTGGCAAAATACTAGTGGGGGTGCTAAAAGTTGTCTTCCACTGGTATATATAAGCACTGGTGGCAGGCGTGACTTATTGCCTGCTACTGGTAATGGTCCAAGAATAGTCGTGTCCCAAATATACCAGTGGTAGTTGTGTTAGAGCAACTCCAACGACGTACATCAAGCCTCCCCTAAACGTATATACCACCCCGTTCGGACACAAATTTTCATCCAACATCGTGCCACAAACGTTCGCGGATGTATCTGAACATCTAAAATCACACAAACTGGTACCAAACCCCGCCACATTTGCATCTGACTATACTGGCCCACCCAAAACCCTCTCCGCACCTTTCGCTCCATAAGTCAGGATATTGACTGAGAACTTGCTCATTACTATGCAAAAACTACAAGTGTTTAGCATGCTACTAACCACCAAAAATCATGACATAATAGAAAACTTACAATTTCATCACAATAACTCACAAACTTGCAGTCTTACAACGGTAAAGATTATACTTGACATTTTATTGAAAGAAATTGTACAAAACATGATTACTACAGAAGTTTTAACCATGTCGACACACAAAAATAAGGAAACAAAAATAATGGATTGCCTTCCATAAGTGCTTTCTTTAATGCCTTTTAGCTAGGCATTGATATTTTAGATGATGCTCACAAACAAGAATCATAATTATTTCGGAGCAATGAAGGAGCTCAAAGGAGCATATATATATCAAGCACTTTTAAGCCTAACCCGCTTCTTATGCATAGGGATCTTATAACCAAATAACTCATTGAAGCCACAAGTAGCTAGCATAGGAAGACAAAATAAGTGCAACTTCAAAACTTTCATCATTAAAGAGAGGAAAATTGACGTTGTTGAGATATCTATAACCCTATCTACCTCTATCATAATAATTTTCAGTGACATCATGAACAAAGTCAGTGATGTAGCCATCACATAAAACATTATTTTCATGAGACACATGCATAAAAGTATTATTACTCTCCACGTAAGTAAAATCCTTCTCATTGTGGGGGCAAATTGAACAAAATAGCCATCATGTAAAGCTTAATGTCATGACCCAATTGCACATTAAATTCATAATGACACGTTTCATGCTTATCATTATTCTTTATAACATAAGTACCATCATGATCATCATAGATAGTAACTTTATTCTTATAATAATCAATTGAAACATCTTCCAAAATAGTGGAATCAACACTACCTAAAGTCGTGACCTCTTTAAATCCACTTTCATCACTATAATCATCATAAATATGAGGCACATTTTCATCATAGTAAACTTCCTCCTCCAAAGTAGAGGGACTAAAAAGATTTTACTCCGTGATGCATTCATGGAGAATTAAAAAGCGAGAAGTAGTCTAGTTTTTTATTTAGTCATAGTTCCGGGGAATATCCGCAGAGATGCTTGGTAGGTTGATGAAACCCGGGGTCCGGACAGTTTGAAGGGTCTCTGGATGTAATCTCTATGGCGGGGAGGTCCACTTTACGTGATGCAGCCCCCGAGTCAGGCATCAGAGAGCTCACGTTGAACATAGTGTCAAAGTATACCCTGAGGTGATCAAATAAGTCGTGCTCAAATTTAGCAATCATAAATACTGTAATAAAGGCAATTGCAAAACTCGTATAAGAGCAAAACATCTTTGTCATAATTGTATTGAGCTAAAAATGAGAACGCGATACTTAAGAGTTTATATAAAGGAGTCTAAGATTAAAAAATGATGCAATTGAGTAGTGTTATGCGGGTGCTTGGTGACATTTCGCCGGCTTGATATAGTCGGCTGGTGCCACCGCATGTAGCATCTCTAACCGGCCCTAGCTCGCTCCATGTTGTTAGAGCTTGATGTGTCTTGGGGTCATGTCTTGTTCGCATGTTCGCTCAAGCTCGACCGAACCATTTTCCAAGCTGCAGTTGCACATTCATCTGTTGTAATACTGGTGTCCGTGATGGTGGCGCCGATTGCTGCTTCGGCGAGCTCAAGGTTGGTGACATCTATCTCTTGTGCACTCTTTGGCATATCCACTAACGATAATGACCTCGTAGGGGCCGGGTATTTTTAGTATGAGCGTAGAAGTGGATGGCCATGAATTTTACAAAAGGAGCGACCTGAAAGAGCGTGGTGGACTCTTTTAAAGGGTACCATCTCAAAGAAAAGTGCCTCGGCCCAAAAGTTATCTAATGTCCTGATTATGACCTCCAGCGAGGCCTGGCGAAGTGGCTCCACCTTC